ACATGGTGACTTAAGTTTGCCTATTACGGTTGTCATGTGCTGTGGACTTATTACATCTTCTCTGTGTCTGTACTGATCTGAAGCTTCTATGAAGACGTGGTTAATGTCGACTACTGACCTACCTTTTTACGTGTCGGGACACTCCGAGCATCTCTGCTTACCAGTTTGAGATCATGGGTTTGCTCCAGACTCATGATGGCCTTCTATGAGAGGCGTTGAAGGTGCCCTTTCACTTCCTTGCCTCCCTTGTGTAACCTTCGTTGAGGGTTCAGATGACGGATGATGGCTGGCTGCTCACCCTGAAGTTAGTAGTAGGAACGAAGGTCACGGAGACAGTGGTTGTTTGGTCTTCAGATGTCTCGGATACGTGCCGAATAGAGAGACTCGGGAGAATCTTTGACTCTATTTCCTTGCTTGACTTTAAGGCGTAATACTGATCTACTGAGCGTGAATGGTTGTCGTCGCCCTGCTGTATTCATTCTTGCTTTCTTTTTCGGGCCTGATTTATGATCCGACGGCCATTCACATCGAGACTGAAACACTTGCGTTGGGCGGAAACCATCCGTTTAGCCACCTTAGTGGCCACCTGCGGCTGATACGCGTCCTGTGAGTCAGTCATCTAGACAGGCATATGCAGAAGACACAGGGAAAGAACATTGGAGTCACGAGGGAGAATGGGAGTGTGCAAGTCAGAAAAGGATACAAAAGTGATGCTGAATGATGCAGAGGCATTAGACGTTGCACAGTGGTATAACGAAGGCGAAAACCAGCCCATCACAAGAATTCACGTTGCTCTAAAGAGCTTTGGCATGGTGAGCGCTGGTTGAGAAATGTATATGAACCTCACTTAGGTTGCCGTCGTGGCTGGAATTCGGCGACCAAGGAATCCGGCGTCCCAGCAAAGTCAGGAATGAGCCGCGATGATCGCAAGGCCGATTAGCTGGGCCGACTGGATATTGCAATCCCGGGTCCTCAGACTTGGAGAAATAGTGCATGCATGTCGTTGGCTGGAATCGGACAGCCTGTTTGGTAGCACCCCGCTCGCGATGTTCTGGAAAGCCAAAGAGAGGATGACAGAAGGCCCAATGACTAGCGGACCCGGATGAACTTCTACTCCAGACGTATGGAGCAGTCAGCGTCATGATGGCCGAATGGAATAAAAAGGAACCAACTGAAGGGGAGCACTGATGTGGCGGTGAGGGACGATGCGAGCAAACGGACGATAGGCGAATGAAGGGCCTCACAACCCCACAGCCGCTGCATTCCTTTCGTTTCCCCCCATCCGCAATGCACCCGCCGTCGTTGGGTCGATGTCAACGGAGGATCTTAATACCCTCCACTCCGGAGACATTATTTCATTCATCAGAGACCTAACACGGACCTCATCTGCATCGGTTGTTGGGCGCTGTGGGCGCTGCGGGGACAACCGTCTCACGATCCAAGCGGCCATGACCCGGTCTGCATCCAAGCCATCCTAGTCTTAACCCAATGAAGCCCATGCAGCGAAGACAAATGTCGAGCAGCCGGTTGCATAAGCTCAGGGTGCCAGGTTTGACGGCGTAGGCTGATTTGAGTAGGCAATCGCATGGTATGAAAAGCGTCTCATCATTCATCCCCAAGTAGCTCGTTCTCAGCGGAAGAGTATCAGAAGCCGAAAGCGAAAATTGAATTGCGAGGCATTCAGACCAGAGAACCTGGGGATTGAAAGCTTGTGTGAGACTCTCCACTCTCGCGTTGGGCCTCTGTGTTACCCGTTAATCCGGTCGGGCTGATGGCCAAGTGAAAAAGGCCTTCCTCATGAGTGTAATCGACCCGCGGATCTCCTGGATTTGGTTGTGCTTAGGCATTCTTGGGTATATTGGGAGAAAAGGCAGACGGCACAGTCGATATTGTAAGGCGACAACCTCCAGATAGCGTGAGGCAGCAAAGGTAGTAGAGCATTGATGGTGCCCACATGGAACGATCGAGGAACCGACTCTCACTGGATGTGACGGCCTGTCAGCGGATGTCACCGTGAACTCGGCGTAGATCCTGAGTGGTGTTTTCTCGATGAAGTCAGCAACCCAGCCAGACATGGAAATGGGTTGATTGTATCCATCCCGTCAACCTGTCAGCGTAGAATTCTGTCCCGTATTGACCTTAACCCATTTTCAATTTGGCGCCCCTCTCGCCGCCTCGACCTGACCTTCCCTGTACCTTGCCCTTATAGTCAGCTTTGGGATCGGGCTCCAAGGCCATGACTGTCCTCCCACGTAACAGACTGTGTAATTTTCTCATGGGGGTAAGCCATCATAGTTAAGGGATCAGATTCGCAATGAACTCTTTGTTCCCTGCAACCCCGTTGAGGTGCTATCGTCCAGATCCACTCGGCCCCATCTGCCGTCGAACTGCACACGTAGGCGGCGTTTAGAGCGCTTGTCCCGTTGAGGCCCTGGGTGTGTAATTTCGCTCATTGACTGAAGATATTTCTATGATCGAAGAAACATCACACGTAGCCGCTGATAAGCGAAAGGGGGAAGCACTTGCAGGTACCGGAATCCTGGATGGCCTTGCGTTCTTTCGCACGTCATCAATCTGGCACCAGGAAGGAACCCTGTCGGTTACACGGTTTCTTCTCCATTTCAGGGGTGTAACTCTGCCCTGCCGTGCCACTTGAGAGGTTCTAGGTTGCTGGGCCGAGATAGCTAGCATGCGGCAAGGCCACCTTCGTTTTTCTGCCAACCTTCTGGCCCTCTTTCGTTCATTTCTTTTTCCTCCAATTTTTTTTTCTGCGTTCCTTCTCCCCCTCACAATTTAATTCCGGCATATGCAGAGGTGTCCAACGCCAACCCATGATGCTCGATTCTCCCCTTTCTTAAGCATCATAGATCTTGTGATTTTGTCAGTTTCCATATCTCATACATCCCGTGAAGTACCCTTGCATGCAGTTTCTGCTATGCAAATACCGTCACCAATTCTCTCGACAGGAATCATAATACTAACCTAGTTGAAGTGATTTGCTTGCAAGCGCTCTCGACCCGCTGGTATCCACATCCATCAAAATGAATTGCGTCGAGTAACGGAAGGATTTCTCGGAAAGAAAACGACAAACACTGGGAACTGATCTAGGTAGGCCAAATAACGGCGGCATAGCTGATGAAAAGACCGCGGTTGGTCGTCTCATGATTCGGCAATTCCGTAGTCACGCAACTCTTATCGCCGTTGGTCGTCCTTCTGTCGAATGGCTCTTCTACCACAGGCCGCAGCACACAAGCTTTCCCAGCCACCCAGCCTCCTGATATTGATGCACATGGGTAGCCCACGGGATTCGAAAGGCGGATGAAAGAATGAAACGGTAGAGCGAAAGAAGGGTAGGCAGCAGAAACCTCTCACGGGGGCTGAGAGCTAGAAGACAGGTAAAGAGAGTTGTGAAAGATCGATAGTTCAACAAAAGTCCCCAATATAAGAATAATATACGTAACTTTGCACGTCCGCTGAGGATCAGAATCAGAAGCACCTCAGCTGGCTTCTCGTCATCACAGCCCCCTTTTATATCTCCGATGGCCCCATTGTTCATCGCAGCCCGAGGATGGGAAATCTGACCTGAGACAGACTGGATGCCCGACAAAAATTGCCACGGAAGCGCGGATTGGGGACTGAGTGGAGGAGATATGGGACGGCCTGGACCAAGCCCCGGCCATTCATAGATCTCCCCTAAAATTTCGCTTTCCAAGCCAGAGCGGGGTCAATTCGGAGAAAGGAGCGAATTGGCGGCCAGAAAGTGAGGGACGGGCGGAATTGGGGGGTTGGGATTGGAGAGAAATGGAGGAATTGGGAGAGTGAGTGTCAAAGGGGGGGTGGGAAAGAAACCTCCGGGGATGGCCCAATGCCCAATGAATCAATGGCCCATCCCATCCCCCCTCTCAATTGAGGTCACAGCACTCGTCATGGACTTTCCCGCCGGAGGGAAGACCCTCCGGTGAAGGTTATAAAAACCCTCTTCTCATCCTTTGTCGTCCTCTTCCTCTTCTTCTTTCTCTTCTTCCTCATCAAGTGCGATTATCAGTTTGACGTGCAATCATTCTTCCTCGTGATCCTTCCTTGTGTCTTCCCCTACACCTCCATCCCTTCGGAGCTAGACCTCAATTCTTCCTTGTGACTGAAGAGTCATCTTATTGTCCTCCATTGTCTTCGTTTCGAAGCTCTTGTGAACCAAGCAACAAGACGAATCATCATGGCGACCCATCACTATCAGTCTCCTTCTCTTCCCATCAATGTCCCCTCTAAGGCTCCTGCTCCTGCCAACCTATATCCCATTACCAGAGTTTCTGGATCTCCTCCAGATATCTCTGACACTAGCACTACTGCAGGAAGCCGCACCTCTGCAGGTTTCAGCTACAGCTCTGGCAGCATCGGCGGCGATTATGAAACGAGCTCTGCCTCGTATTCTGGTGTTGATGTTGTCGATGTTCTCAACGACCGCATGCAGGACGTCTTCGACCCCACACCTTTGGACAGGGGATTGGCAATGCAGGCACAAACGTAAGCAGTCCTCTTTGCGATTTTAAGAGGGTTTCAGCTGCCTTTGGGTTGGACCACTTGGGAATTCTGGCATGCAACAAAGGTGAGACGGAAACAACAAACAAGCTGACGTGTAACTCTATAGTTCCGGTCAGTTGAACGCCAAACAGCGCGAGCTTTTGGAATTGCAAGCCCTGGCCCAACGTCGTCTAAAAGGAGTCCGGGCCACCTTTAACGACGGTATCAAAGTTGCTCGCGAGACTAAGCGTGACTTGGAATGGACTCAGAAGCGTGTGAAGTGAGTTTCCAAGTTGTCCCAAGAGCTCTCCTGTATCATATACGACAGCTGAGGCACTCCGCTCCGCCGGCGGGGAGCACAGGCGCCCGCTGCGCTCCGCTGTCAAGATATTTCTTGGCAGCGTAGTTGCTGCAGCAGGTGCTGCATCCCAGCCGAAGCCTCCATTATTCCGAATACCTCAAATACTAACAGATCACGTACATAGTGCTCTCAAGGCGAAGGCCGAAAATAACTTTCCCGACGAGTATAGACGGGCGACCAAGAAGTATACTTTCGACGATAATTAATTCAAGCTAAGGGCTTATATTGGCTCGGTCCGGTTTCACATCGGTCCAGATTATTGGAGGCACGCACCTCTCCTTGGCAACGACGATAATGGTTTTGTATAGGGTAAAATTGGTTTTCTGGGTTCGGATCTGGCGTGGGTTTTTGAAGGGCGACTTGATCTTTTTGCGTTATCTCGCGACTGAAGGGGTTTTGGGCTGATACATGTCTTTGCTTTTTCCTCGGGCGCCGTATCTTTGGGTGGACGCGTCACTCTATCATAGTACGTTGAATCTGGCGAAATATACATTCAATCTTCGAGCACTGGTTCTCTAGAACATCGACAGCAGTCGCGCTTGCGGTGGCGGGTGAGATCATAGCCACAAGGTAATATCCACGTGCCAGAAATGCGGCCCACTGTGCATCAGCCCAAAGCAACCAGGTGAAAAGCGAGTCACAATCGGGCTTGTGACGAGCAGGGGCTGGGTCATGTGCCATCCCGAATCACAGTAAATCACCTTTAGAGCGGGATGGGCTTGTGGGGGGGGGGGAGTGTGGCACGGTCCTCTGAGGTATCCTGCAGTGCATTCCAGGGGATGTCCCCGAGTCTCACGAGCGACATTCTCGGCGATACATTCTACACTCCGTATAGCTCTTGGGAGAACTAGAGCTTAGACTGCCAGACCCCGCTGTACGTATGTGTTGACTCGAGGATGGGGGGACCATTGCCGTCATTCCCGGCTGCCGACGTCCTTGGGAACCCCCACCTTGGATGAGCGGAACTGTAACCTCTGCTGACTCCACTCCGCCAGCGGACATGGTTGTACCGCCTGCTCCGCTCCGCCCTGTGGTCGGGTCGCGCTGGTTGCCGCTTTTAAGGCTGGTCATGCAAGCCATGATACAGGGTGTGGTTGGAACTTCTAGGCGTCGACTTGCAACTGCATCACAGCCAATGGCCATAGGGTGATTGTCATGGTAGCCAGAAGCTATCATTAATCCTGCAGTGCAGGAAGTGGAACTGTGGATGGTGATCAAATCAGGAGGTATATTTATGTTGGAAGGTGCCATGTGGGGTGAAAAAAGGGTGGTGACTTCTGGACACTGGATAGTATTGTGTTAGCTTCGCCATGCAATGTTTTTAACATGCGTCGATCTATTTTTGACCTTCAATTTGACAGTTAGTGGAATACTTGTAGTAAGAAGTCATAGGAGGGGCACTCCACTACCGCGACGTGGAGTACCTCATCCCCTAGCTGGGGGGAGAGAAGCTCAATAGTTAGTAAAATAAAGACTATTTAGTCACCAGTAAGCAACACAGAAAAAGATTGATTAGCTCCATAATAGTGCGTGAGCACGCCAAGTTCAATCGATTCGGAAATGTGTGAGGGAGATGGAGGAGACGGAAGTGTTTATCTACCCCTAAGTAGACCACCATCAATTTGCGACAAAGGAGGAGTCGATCTATCAATGACCAAGGCCGTGCCTGCCGTTATAGGTCGTGCCAACCATCGAGAGCTTGGTGGAAAAAGGAAGGAACGTTTTATTACCCGGTTAGTCATGCATGAATCTCTAGTTTGAAGCTTACAATGATTTCTTATTCTTGATCTTTTAGTGTGACATTTATTTGATCCTAATCGCTGGTTTTCTATTTTCTATTCTCGAGGTGAGAGTGTTTCACTTTGCCCGGATGGTCCGTACAGCATGTTTCATTTTCCTGGGCTAACTTGGCCAGGGGCTAGGGGTGGAGGGGTGTACTATATTTGGATCTGGGCTGCCGAACTGGCTCTCCATATACCTACACTCAACTATGAATGTCGCTGATATGATGCATATGGAAGTGGTTGTTTGGCATACCTTCTAGCGTCTATAGAGCTCCCATCAACTTGAAATGAATTGATTGTCCTTGTGCCTTAGGGGCTATTCATTTGCTAACCGTTTCTGAACTAAGGAATGAAAGCAATATTTCCTAGAGCGTCTCGAAGCGTTCATGCCCGGCAAATGTTGCATATTCTCCCTCCCATTGATGAATTGAACATCTATTCGGCGAACATTGTCGGCGTGCATTCTCCCAACACATCACTTGACAACCGCACGACGTCATGTAGCCACGACACTGCAACGTAGATACCACCATCTCAAGACTCTCCTGCTGGTTGATCTGAATCTATATACACCCATGTCAGAAATGCGTCGCGACAACGATCACTTCGAACTAGCACTGGAAGGGAGTCTTACCAGTATCGCTCAAGGAATTTCGCCACAACAGGTTTCATGTCCTTCCACGGGTCTTGAATGAAACTAGGTTGAAAGTAGGCCATAGCACCGCTCAGAGTCTTGATCCCGTCCGACCATCTGATCAAGTCATCGTTTCGAAACTGTTTACGATTCGGTGCGGTGTATACATAAGGCGGTGGAGGTAGCCTGCGTTGGCTCACCATGACCCTCTTATTGTTCTGTTCCACAGGTTTATATGGCCCAGGCCTGGGCACTCCCGACTTGGTTGCCACACTAGGGACAGGGTTCGCGATAACACGGTTATTCGTGCTAGCGGTGGGTTTCGCATAATGATCTATTCAAAACGCAAAACGTTAGAGATCGTTGTTATGTTGAGGCATCACAAAGAGACTTGATACTTACTATGTAAAACAGGACTACTCTTTACCGGCTCCTGCTGGCGGATATTTGTGTCCAACGAGTTACTAGGACGCCTGCCATTAACCCTGACGTTTGTAGTAGGAGCAGGAGGAATCATCCCGTTAGTTTTATTCTCCATGCTCACAGAAGCGCCTGTGGCTTTCGCAGCCTCGTTCAACGTCTCCCTGTGTAGCGGCTGCACCTTCCATTCCTCGTAGAGAGGCGAGCGAGGTTTAGCCCGTCGGGGGCTCTGAACGTGTGGCTGGCTGGGCATCGTCTGATGCTTGGGCATCCTGTCTACCGGATTGCCAGGTTTGATCGGAGTGTAGTCCTTGATAGTGTCGGGGGCCCATTCTTGGAGGAACTCATATTCTTTCTGTGACACCTCCTTCTTCAGGATCTGTTTGGGTGTGAAAGTGCACGCTGCCATCCTTGTTGGTAGATATGTAGAGTAGCGTTTTTGCGGTGGTGTTGAGTGTTGTAATCCAGAAGTACCGAAGCAAGAGCTGCAAATATAGTAAGGAAAGGACTTTCGAAGGTGTGGATCAAGCAAAAGAAACACAGAAGTTGGAAATGGGAGGGAAGAGGAAGGAGGGAAGAGGAAGGAGGGAAGAGGAAGGAGGGAAGAGGAAAAAGGGCAGGTGTGGGTGCGAAGTGAAGTGGATGAGGGAATTAGTACCCTGCCACACGATCTCGATAGAATACAATTCACGTTATTGTAAGTTATTCACTCCCATACATAATACAGGCACTTTTGCGCATGGCAGCGACATATGCAGTGTGCTTTACCTAGCATCAAGGCACCTTAATCATGCATAGTCCCGAACGAGGTATGTTATGATGGAACTTAGGCAGATTCAGATACGAACGCGAATAGGTCGGAATCTTCCATAGGACTCTTCCATAACCACCCAATAGCCAATGTCTGTTATCGAGACCGCTGAGCTACCAAGATGCAATAGAGGGTCAGGATTAACACATGAGATACGAGGTCTCCACTCAGAAGCAGTCTCATCCTGCAGCTAAAGCGGGGGGCAGATTCATCACAAGAAGTAAAATACTGACGTACTGGTGGGCGGTCTTGTAGGATGATATTGTTCGGTTCTTGTTTGTGTGACTAGCATTTACTCCCAGACTTCCGTCTTCGAAGGGTACTCCAGGGAGAACAGGCGTCTACAACAACCGGAGGCATCGATACCATAGCCTCTATACTACGTAGGAGAGGGAGCTCTCTGAAAGAATCATGTCTTTTATTGATTCATAGAAATTTGATCTCTGTTAAAGTATTTTCATGTAAATTTTCAATACTACTTTCTGGATATTTCAACATCATCAAGTATGGTACCAAAGATAATCTATCATGATTACCTGATCCTTCATACTAGAATTTTTATACTTCTGACCATAGTTATACCGACCTTCAACCATAATATGTCTACAGTTAGCCATTAGCCTATGTATTTTACATCGACCATATAGTTTTGACACCTTCAAATGCCCATTGACTTATAGCTTAATAGAGTTTAAGTAGAATAACTATGCACGCATGCGATCAATAGTAGCTACAAAATAAACAGCAGTACCAGATAAACAATATCATCTATAAGCAGAAATCAGAACAAAATCTTTAGGTCAGAATCCGGCCACTAAAGGTGAAGGGCCTCCGTGATGTTCTACCATCACGCCACTGCAGGCAGTAAGCGACTCAACTTAAGCTGCAGAGGCATTGGGACGCTTCACAAGAGTACTAAGAGAATGGGTTCATATCTCCAGTTGAGCTTTTGGCGGCAATCCAATCGAAAGCCTTGAAGCCCTTGTAATTTTAAACATGATCCGACAATCGCCTGTCGCCATTGATTCGTCGCACTGTCATCACGACTCCATCAGCTGGTGCACAGTCTCCACGCTCCGACCACAGCAAGCCTTGGCTGCAAGGAACAACAACATCTGGTAGTGCACCATGTCTAGTAACAAGCCATATTATTATTGAGTTTAGCATCTAAATAAGCTTACAAGCGACTAGCCAACGTAGCGACAATCTTAAGATGGTCCCAGACCTTGAGAAACAGCAAACGCTCCTTAAACACCAGAACGCTCTGCCTCGATAGCGTTGTTGATAACCTGCACAAAGCGACCAACCTTATCCACATCTTTCTTAGCCGTTTGAATCCCACTGAAGATCTTCTTCACACCAACTCCAATGGTTCCGTCATCGGATATACTGCCAATGCCAGCCAGTGCCTGACCAATTTCCTGCTCGTTGAATGCGCCAGAATGCTCCAAGATGTGCTTTAGCTCATCGTATGTCATCACGTTGGGAACCATGATGTCGGCATCGAAGGAGCTGAACAAGTCAAGCTGCTTCATCACAAATCTCTGCGTAGTGGTTGCTATGATCAAGAGTCGGCGACCCTTGTTAGGATGTTTCCTCAACACGGCCTGCAAAGTCTGCAAGATTGTGTTGCTGAAGCGAGGGCCGACAGGAACCCACTCGATGAGCTTCTCGAGATTATCGATAACGACAACACTTGTGCGACTCTTATAAGCATCATCGAAGACTTTGATAATGCGCTGAACCTTGGCTGTTTCGCTGAAGCCTCCCATGTCTTCGGGGCTGATCAACTTAATGAAGGGGAAACCAGAGTCTATAGCGATTCGAGCCGCGAGAGCCGTTTTGCCACTTGCGGTGGGCCCATGTAGCAAAACCGAGAACAAAGGTGAGGATTCATCCTCGGCAACTTGCTTGACGAACAGGCCGCCCTCCTTGAGGATTTCATTGATCACGGGCGAGAAGTGTGTGATGCCATGTTGAATCCGACTAGAAAGCTCTTCTTCAGAGACACCAAACGCAGGTGTGACCTCTTCGAGCGCATGGTGGAAATCGGACCGGTTGACCTTCATGTTCACGACATCGTCGCTAATGCTGGCTGTCGTGCCCGCCTTGATATGCCGGGAGAATGCAAAAGAAGATGCGGACTTCACAAGACCAGATATTTCAGCACCAGAGAAGTTCTTGGTCATCAGGGCCAGCTCGGCCAAGTCAACATCATCATCCATGACGTCGTTATCCCGCATCTTTTGGGTGTGAATCTTGAGAATCTGGGCTCGGCCTTTCTCATCAGGAAGAGAGATCTCCATATGAACTTCAAGACGACCAGGACGCAACAGTGCCTCATCAATCATGTCCTTTCTGTTGGTCATTCCAATGAG